GTGACCTTCCACAAGAATCATGTTCCTATATAGGCTGAGGAAACTGAACCTGGCTCCAGGGAGCTTCTACAAATTTTTAAGATACAGACCCTGAGAGCAAGAACGGCTTTCTAAAAGCATACCTTTAAGAAGAAACTGTCTTAGTTGGGGAAAGAGAAGTCTTAGCTTTGAGCACGGCCAGGTCTCCTTCCCCATCAGCCCAAACCCTTTAGCCTGAGGGGGAACTTGGTGCTGCAAGTGGTCTAGAGGATTTTTGACTTCCCAGGTTCCCCCCACTATTGAAGGTATGTTACCAGATAGGACAGTCTGGATGAAGCTTCACTATGTTTAAGAAGAACTCCTTGAGCACCACACAAATGGAAGAAAAATACTTCTACCAACCAGGACCTGTCAGTTACTCCTTGGATGCATGGAGAGTCTAAGGTTTGGTCTATTCTTCTAAAGAGTTATGTTACAGATTTTTTCCTTGGGGTGGATGAGGGTAGAATATACCAACTGCTTCACCTAAGTAAATATTCCTTATAATGCCAAACTAAGACTGGCGAACTAAATGATTTTCAACTGATAATTTTGGGGTAGCACACAAGCAGAAGTTTGACCTGACTGAATTAGAAAATTACTCCTCACCTCTCAGATGTGTATCCTAGAAGCCAGAAAGGAAGATGTAACCAGGCTCTGGGAACTTACTCATTGGTGGGAACTGAGATAAAGAGTCTCAATCTATATTGGTTATACCATATGTCTAAGCAACTAAGAAAAGATAATTTCTGGTCTTTTTCCAAGGATATAAAGTAAAAGTAGAAGAGGCATGGCATTTTTTTTCTCTCCAAATGAAGTATAAACTTCAGGATACACATTGACATTCATTAAATTCTGTCTCTAATATTTATGCATATGTATATTATTATCTCTATTAGATTGTACAATCATTGCCCTCATTTAAAACTTTTGTGAAATCTTAAAGAATTATCAAGGTAAATTATTATTTTTGCCTCCCTCCACAGTGCCAACCAAAAAAATCAGGTACTCATTAAGTATTTGTTGAATAACAAAAAAGTGTCAGTACTGTATCATTCAAAAAGTACTGCATTCAGTCAGAAAATGATCAACACAATTAGGGAAGCGGGGTGTGAGCTAACAAATGGGATCACTGCTGTCAATACCAGGATATCAGTGTATCATATCAGTCTGTTACACACTGTTTTTTAGGGCGTGTATTTTCTTACATACCAGAATACAGTATTAGGATTATGTGTGAAACTATGAATATCGATTTCATACTGTCAGCTTTAAAAAAAATGCAATCTACTTACTGTATAAGAAACCCTTCTCAACTTCTTTCTGTTCTCTTCTATGCATTTTTATAAATATTACAATGGTCCTACTTTTGGGGTATCACTACTGTTAACAATTCATTCCTTCTAGCTCTCCTCCACCCATTCAAACCCAGAGAAAGAGGCAAACAGTAGATGATTAATAAATGTTTGTCAACTTGCTTCGTATAAAATCCAACTTGTTCAGAGTGAACACTTCTTTGGATAAAATGCTGTAGTTTTTTTGCCAAGTTTTTTTTTTTTAATTTGCATTTCTTTTTTTTCCTTTTGCTTTATGCTTACCTGGTTTGGACATTAGTATTGTCAAGCTTCATAAAATGAGTTTGGTGGAGTGCTCCCTTTTACATATATTGAGAATAATTTTGCTAAATTAGTTATTAAAATGGTTGCTGGAATTTCATTGATATATCATCCTGGACCAACATTTTTTCCCTTCCTTATTTATGGCTTGCTCTAGGATGGTTTAAGATTTTAAAAAATATGTAAATGGGACATTATATATTTTTGTAGATAATCATTCATTTCAGTTAGCATAAGTTTTGCTGGAATATAACTGTGAGTAATAATATTAGATAATTATTTTTAATTTCTCTCCCTTGGTTATGAATTAAAATCATGAGATTCCTTGAAAAAATTAAGAGATTTATAAATGTTTAATGACCATGTGAAAAAGGGACACATATATTCACCAAAAGTATTTTGCTCTGAAACAGAGCATGTCCTATATGCCAGTTAAATATAACAGGCATTCCCTAGAAATGGTGAACTCCTCCATATGCTCCAATTTTCAGATAACATCTCACCAAGCCATGTTAACTTTGAAAAACCTACTAAATGAGATCCAAAATAATTAATAAAGAAGTTTATCCTAATCACACACACACACACACACACACACACACACACACACACACACACACACAC